GTTTTCAGTGTTGAGGAATGTAACAACTGTCCTCCAAAGGGCTGACGCTATTTTGTCAGCTCTCTATTGCATAATGGTGCCTTTCTCTGCGTATTATCACCCCTGCTGCATTAGCCAAAATCTCACCTGTGTCTCCAACTGCTAGCTGAGAAACTGGTTCTCATTATTATAATATGCATGTATTTAATTACAAGTGAGGTTAATCATCTTTCATATATTTAACATTTTAAAATCCTTTTCTCGGTAACTTTGTTTTGCCATTTGTTTATTTTCTTCCATTTTATTTACATAAAATATCCATACAATATAAATTTTTTATTCATAAAATATATGTATTAAAGTGAATAGGCTGCTATCCTAGTTTGTTGTCTGTCTTCTGACATTGGTAATGCTATTTTCTTCCTGTGCAGAATTTTAAGTTTTTATGTAACAAATGTATTAATGTGATCGTTCTCTGTTTGCTTCTGGGTTTTATAAGCTCTTCTTTTTTCCAAAAATTTCTTTAGTAATTTATGGCTTCTCTTTTTGATGTTGGAGTTGTTTCCCTACTAGAATTTCTTTGATGTTAGAAATAAACTAGGAATCTGACTTTGTTTTCATTTTGTCAGATGGCTACCCAGGTGTCCCAACATCATGAGTAATAAACTAATATTTATTCATATTGCTAAATATGAAGACACAGTCTCAGGTCCTAGGGAGAGTACAGTTTAAGTAAGGCATTAAACATATATATGTTGTAGAGTTAACTAACCATAAAAAGTGTTTGATTTATTGATTTCATTTTATTTGCTGTTTATAGACACAGACAAGAGAAGGGTGGTTACCAGAGGGGATGGAGTGTGGGGAGTAGACTGAAAAGGGTTAAAGGGGTCACATATACAGTGACAGAGGAAGACTAGACTTTGGTGAGCACACAATGCAATTTACAGGTGATGTACAATTATAAAATTGTACACTTGAAACATATATCATGTTATTAACTCATATCATCCCAATAACTTTTATAAAGAAAAAAGAAAAAACCCCACAAAACAGAAGGAATAAAATTTACCTTCAGCCTTTGTATTTTTTATATGTATGTGTATGTATATATATATATATATATTTTTTTTTTTTTCCCCCCTATATTTTCTATGTTCCTGAGTTGCTTTCATTGCACCATATCCTTGAGGAATTTGCTGGCAAGACTGTGTCTAAATCTCCTGAACAGGGGTCAAGTTTCTGTCTGTGAACTCTTTGCCTTATTTTTCTGCCAACTGGAAATAAAAGGGAAAGATTTAGAGCATGAAACTATTTATTTTTCTTACAAAGGACAGTTAATTCGACTCCAACTTCCGTAGTTATAATATAAAAGCCCTGTAGTTTTATTGTATGAAGAAAGCTCAAGCCCCTCAGTCGTAATGAAATTTCTAGTTTTTCTAGTTTTTGTATTTGAAAGGATAATGAATTAATGAGGTTTTTGGAATCTGAATAGCTTTTCGAGTGCTGGTTACTTTGTAAGTAGTGTTTTTGAGGATTATCTCCTGTTCTCATTTTAGAAGAAGCTGAGATGTAAAGAGTTAAGTGACTTGTCTGAAATCACAGATGTTAAGTGATAGAGCAAGAATTTGAAGTTGAGTTATACTCAGGGGAGACTGTTCTCAAGTATGCAACACTTGCCATGTCTGTTCAAAACAATAAATATAGAAACAGCCAACTCTTAACCTGTCTGTTCTACATATTCTTGTGAATTTCTGTCTTTCACAAACGAGGAGTCCAGTTCCTTATATTTTTGCTCGACGTGGTAAGTTTTTTATCCTTTAATTATTGTTATGGTTTTCCCAAAGACCGAAGCTTTCAAAGTACCATTGACTCTCCCTGCTAATTTCCCACTAAATGTAGCTTCTTTTGTAAAGTTTATCATATTATGTCAGTTTCGGTCTCCATTCTGATCCTGTAGTTATGGCCCTTAAACAAATGTATAACTTCTCTGAGCTTTAGTTAGTTAGCTAGTTTGTTTATTTATTTATATTGATTTTTAAAGAGAGACAGGAAGGGGGAGAGAGAGAGAAACATCAATCAGTTGCCTCCTGTACACGCCCTGACCCGGAATCAAACCTGAAACCTAGGTAGGTGCCCTGACTTGGAATCAAACCTGCAACCTTTTTAGTGTATGGGACAATGCTCCAGCCAACTGAGCCACAGGATGGGGGCTGAGTTTTAGAACTGGGTAAACATGTAGGTTGGTTGTGAGTAGGAAGAAAAAATGATGCCATTAAAGGCTATGAAAGCTGCACAAATATGATCACTATTTTGCTTGAAAGTACATGAAAATGTAAGAAGAAAGCTACTTTATTGTAGAGCATAGTTAAAATAAACCATAACTTTTTATATTTATTTATTCCTAATTGTGGTACAAAACCAGTGCCTTCCAATCATGATATTCACTTGCACCCTATTTTTTGTGTGTGTGTGAACTTCAGGTGGTTTGTTTGAGAATTGCTCAGTAGCATTTTGTCACTTATATAATTTGTTTATGTCAGCTGGACCTTTGAATTTATTTATCAGTGGAAAGGTAATAATCAGTGATCCAGGTTTAAATATTTCAGTTTGCAAAAGTTTAATGTCAAAGGCATGAATGTTAATTGTGTGTCTTTACAAGAATCGTTTTTTCAGGCGCATGGATTCAGTTGGTTTACTCATGCAATACAGTAGTCCCCCTTATGCTCAGGGGATACTTTCGAAGACCCCAGAGGATGCCTGAAACCGCAGATAGCATCGAACTCTACATATAGTATTTTCTTTTCCTGTACATACATACCTATGATAAAGTTTAATTTATAAATTAGGCACAGTAAGAGATTAATAAAAATAACATAATAAAATAGAACAATCATAACAATATACTGTAATTAAAGTTATGTGAATGGCTTTGGGGCCATTAATGAGTAAAATATGGGTTACTTGAACACAAGCCCCTGCCTCTATTACCTAAAAGATCCCTTTCAATGAAGTCACAACTTTTATCATTTTATAGGAAAATAAAATTATTTCCATATAGGAGCTAATATACTACTTCTAGCATTTTGCTTAAATAAGAATTAAAAAGACTGTTTTTATGCCTGCGGGAACTATGAAAAATATAATGAGCATTGTAAAAATGGTAGTAACACTTATTCAGATGCCCCCTATGACCAGAAGAAGAGGAATCCGTCTTATAGACTAGGATGAATATCTCAGGACCTACAACATGCCTTTTGTTTCCACTGCATTTGGAAACTGCTATTTAGGTCACCAATTATTTCTTGGTTGGCAAATTTACTGACTTTTTCCCTTTCTACCTCTCTGTTGCACTTAAGTCTTAGAAACATCCTCTTTTTTAAAGCAGTTAAGAAAAGCTTATTAAATGTAGAAATGAAAGAGAAAGAAAAAGACTGAAAAAAAGATAGGGAGACAATATCAGAGAGAGGAAGACGAAGAGGGGGGAGGGGGAGGGAGGGAGAGGAGAGGGGGAGAGAATGAAACATGGCTTTTTCTTTCCTTCTGTGCATCATGGTAGTGTTTCTCCTACAACCCAACCGGCGTCTCTCGTCTTCCAGCCGTTTCCAGCCATTGGCATTTCCCGTGGCTTGGAATTTTACCCTCTACTTGGTTTTTAAAATTTATATTTGTGATTTCTCCAGATCATTACTACTTTGTAGTTAGAGTTATGTTTATTCCAATGACTCTCAAATATAAAATTTGTCCTTTCCTTTCATCTGAACTTTAGTCCCACATTTCCAATAGATCTCTTAAAATTCAAATATATCGCTATTTTAGAAAGATTGAGGATGCTGAAAATCATAAAGAAGAAAGTTAAGATATAGCAAGTTTCAAATGTGTAATTTGATTTTAGGATTCTCCACAATACACTGGTAATGTTTGTATTATTTGTAAATGTAAAGTAACCATTATTGGTTGTTCTTTTGGCAGAAGGAGAAAATGAGATTCCTTCAAACCGTATTGTGTCAGACCTAATACCCAGGCATACCTTTCCATAGTCTCTCTGAATGCATACCACTATTAACAAAATTGATTTTTGTTGTTTTTCTATTAGTAGGAAGTATAGCAGTGGTATAGATATGTTACTTTGTATCTTTGATTTGGCTCTTTTTGTAGGAAAGAGAGTAAAAACCAAAGCATTCTAGTTACCTTTAATGTAAACCTGAACTGAATATTTGCATGGGCCAATTAACCCAAATGACTTTCTCTATTCCAACAGTACTAACCAGCACTCAATGCCCATGTATGCTTTACACATAACCCTAGAAGGCAGATATTAGAAAACAAGACTCAACAGGGTTAAATAGTTACTCCAGATCACCTAAGTAATAAATAAGTGGTAGCACCAAGGTTTTTCTGAAGAGGCAGCCTGGGAACTGAACCTTTCACTACATAGCATGGCCTGTAGGAGCCAGTTGTCACCAATATGTCATCTCCAGTGAGATCAGGGATTTATTCTGGTCGTTGCTTAAACTCAAGTGCCTAACATAGTGCGTGGACATTGTACATACTCCAAACATATTTGTAGAGTTCAGTCATTTGATTGATTTCTGTTCTTTCAAAAAGACTAAAGGTGGATGTTTCAGTTGCCTATCACCAAGTAACAAAGCACCTCAAATTCAGTGGCGTTAACCACAGCTATTGTTTGTTTGTGGTTCTCTAATTTGGGCCGGGCTGAGTGGAGATGTTCATCTCTGTTCCATGTTACATCAGAAGGGACCTTGGCTGAGGTCAGACCATCTCAGTAAAACAACCTCTCGTGCCCCAGGGCCTCTCTGCATGGACTTTTCATTTCATAATCTTACATGGTGTCTGGATCCTGTAAAGCAAAAACAGAAGGTCCCAGGTTTCTCAAAAACCTAGCACAGTGTCACTTCTATAAAGCAAGATGTAAGGCCAGCCTAGATTCAGGGGGAAGGAATCAAACGGATTCCACCTCTTGATGGCATGTGTACACCGGGTGGGGAAGGGTTGTCGGCAGCTGTCGTTGGAGACCATCCGCCACAGGAGACAAATAAGAATTACTCAACTTAGAATTTGTTATTAATTCCTATCACCTGAGATCCTTGATGAAGGAAACTGTTAGTTTATGTACTAAAAGGACAGCCCAGATTAAAATTTTGACATGATGGATGGCAAAGGACATTGGTAATGCCAATGCTTTCCTGCCATTTTTAAGAAATGCTCACCATGTATGCCATCTGTAGACAATTTCTATTCTGTTTTTCAGTTACTAAAAAACTATTATAAGTGGAGAGCAGAATGCCCAGAAATAAGTGCAGATCTCCACCCCAGAAGTATTCTTGGCCTCCTGCGGGCTGGCTACCTCGGAGTCCTGAGAGGCAGAGACCCCACCGGCAGCAAAGTTCTCATTTACAGAATCGGTAAGTCAAATGCAGCACTGTTGTTTGCTTTTCCTTGACTGCCATTCAGAAGGCTTTAATGAGCCCATATTTAAGCATTTAGGTTTTTGGGTTTTAATTTAGGTTTATTTTATATTTTAATGTCTCCCAAGTATAATAAAACTGGCAGTTGTGAGAAAATTAACAAAAACCAATGAAAATCCTACTTCCATTTTTCCACACAGTCAGCTGTATAAAATAAGAGAAAAATTAAACAGAGAAGAGAAATGGCGGGGGGGGGG